GGCAGTGCTCCAAACGCGGAAGCGGCAGCTTCAAACGGCAGCGGCGGCTCCAAACGGCAGAGGCAGCTCCAAACGGCAGAGGCAGCTCCAAATGGCGGCAGCAGCTCCATCGGCACTCCAAACGGCAGCGGAATGGGCAGAAGGGAAAGCAACAGCGGCAGGTGCCAAAGGTCTTGGGTCTGCAGCAAAGGTGTTTGGTGGGAGTAGGGAGCTCTCTGCGCTTCGCCATGATCGCCCGTTAGGAGCGGCTGGTGGCGAGGCTGCCCGCGGGGCACTCTAGATGAGGATGAAAGGGGAGAAATTAAGTTACCCCCGAAAAGACGGCCTAGCCGTTTTTTCGGGGCTCAAAAAAAAATAAGGCCCGGCCTTATTATGTGAGAAACACGGTATTATGTAATAAATGCTTAAATGTCAGAAACATCTTTAGAAATTAACAGATACTGTTTGTGTTTCATTCTAATTTGTATATCATTTTCATTTTATTATTGGCATTATGGTTTTAATGCAATATTATTATTTTGTTCTTGTGAACCAGAGTGTGTAGACATACTGCAAAATAAATATAAACATCATTAAATGCCTTATCTTTATAACAAATAATGTCTTTCAATGTGTGCCTGATGGGAATGAGGTATAAAAAATAGCATCAATACATTGTTATGGTATCAACAGTACCAACCTTATTTAAGATGAAAAATCTGATCAAGAGAAACAGCGCACCAGACATCATACCAGATAGTAGTGGGGAGATAAACCAGGAAGCAACTGAATATAAATTTTAAAAAAATATTACATTCAATAATTGGCAAGGTTCCATTCAATGTAAAATTCCGCCAAAACACAACTTGTTCTTTATGTTACTTTCCAATAATTATTTAAATAGACTCAAAGTTATTTTTAAAAACTCTCAAATTCAGCCAAAGTAAAGATGTTTGAATCCAACGATTTCAATAGAGATGTTATGTCTACTGATACTAGGTAAATTTATATTTAAAAGTACTCTTAAATATGTTTTTCTGCAATTCCAAGATTATATCAGAATTTTTTTTTACTCTGCGCTCATAAGTCAAGTTTCCTTAGTTTTTCTTTGCATTAAAATGTTCATCTTACTTTTTTAGTTTTTTCCATATAGCTTTTACTGTTTAAAATCAACACTGGAGTTCAATTTCTTGAAGTTAAAAAAAATCCTTTAAAATGAAAAAAAAAGATATGTATGTAAAAGTGGTTTTATCTGCTATTATAAAAATGTCATATAAATCAACTAAATAAAAGTACTACTGAAGTTTATAAATACTGAATTTATACAGGTAGTCCTTGACTTATGACCACAATTGAGCCCAAAATTTCTGTTACTAAGTGAAACATTTGTTAAATGTTGAATTTTGCCCCATTTTATGACTTTTCTTGTCACAGTTGTTAAGTGAATCAGTGCAGTTGTTAAGTTAGTCACACAACTTAAGTGTTGTTAATGGAATCTGGATTCCCCATTGACTTTGCTTGTCAGAAGGTTGCAAAAGGCAATCATCTGACCCGGGGACACTGCAACTGTCGTAAATATGAGCCAGTTGCCAAGTGTCCAAATTTTGATCAAGTACCATGGAAATGCTGCAAAGTTCATAAGTGTGAAAAATGGTCAACGTCCCTTTTTTAGTGCCTTTGTAACTTTGAATGCTCACTAAATGAAGTGTTGTAAATTGAGAACCACCTGTAGTTTAAATTCTTTAACACCTTTAAAAAATAACAGTAACACATTGTTTGTAGGAATATAAATATAATAAGATTCCATTGAACATTGTGTGAAACCTATATGCATATCTCTAAATTTTGGTCTACTCAATTAATTTTACCAAATTTAATTGGTTGCAGAAGTACATCAACATATAATATTTCAGTAATATTAAAAGTTTCCATAGCTTAGTTCAAGAATGCTTTATTTTTTTAATGCACATATGTTACATTAGAGAGCTAGTTTAGTGAAGTAGATAAGGCAGTGTTTTTCAACCATAGCAACTTTTAACTTACTGTATGGGGAATTCTGGGCGTTGAAATCCATGTTATCTTAAATTTACTAAGATTGAGAAATGCTAAGTCAATATATTAGGCTAGAAATTAAGAAACTGTGAGTTCTAGGCCTGCCTTAGGCACAAAGCCAGATAGCCTTGGGCTAATCACTTTCTCTCAACCCTAGAAAGAAGGCAATGGCAAACCACTTTTGAAAAACCTTGCCAAGCAATCCTCAGGGACTTATCAACGTGGTCTCTGAGAATCGGACATGACTCAGTGGAAGAAAAAAAAAAATTACACTACAAATAGAAGCATTTATATTATAAATGAAAACTGTAGTATGGGATTCAGGACCTGCGACATTTGAAATTGCATCTCAATTTGTAAATTTCTTTTGTCTTAATTAATCCTGAGATTCATTAGAACAAAAATATATCATATGGCTCAAGCACATTTTTCTCCCCTTTCCCTTCAGAGACATAGTAATATAATTCTAAAAGGCTAACCTCTAACCCAATACATTATCTATAACATTTAATTATCAGAATTCCTGTGCATTTCTGGCACCCTTGCGGGCTTCCAAAACAGAGAGGGCAAAACACTATTATCAAAGATGTGCAAGCTGCAGGCCTGTGCCCTGGAGACGCAGCTGATCATGCAAAGTGGCGCTCAATGATCTGAAAAGTGGACCGTGCACTTGTGGGAATACACTAGGAATAAGAACAACAACAACAACAATAATAATTCCTGTGCTTTTCTGGTTATGCTGCTTGTAGAGTCTAATTTTTGTATATTACCTTAATGAAACTATAGTTTACAGTGATGTCAGAACTCATAAACAGTAGCATTCCGGACAAAACTTGACAACTCATAGTTTGCGTATCACATGAAAGCATAGTGAAATTCTTCAAAACACTTTCTAAAATTCATTGCATGTTATACATAAAGAGAATATCATTTACCAATCTTGACAAGTTCCATCCACTGGACTCCTTGTGTGCCAATTGCAACTAATGAGAAACCAATAGTAGAACCCACTATACAATGAGTTCCAGATATTGGAAGCTTTAAAAATGATGCTATCAGCTGCCAAACAGCAGATCCTAAAATGTAAAGTATAAGGAGAACAATCAAGATAGGATATTTTAACATTCTGGAGTATCAGAATTTTAAGGCATTCATAGTCTTGCAAAGGCAGGAAGAAACTCCTTACAGAGTTTTACTGGATATTATCGAATTAAAAATGATTTGCTCTCTACTGATTTCAGTTCCTGTAATATAATAAAAAATCTTCAGGTTAGCAAATATTCTTATATCATCATATATATTTTATTGTCTCACTTTTATGAATATATGCTCTTAGTAAGGACAAACAACTAAAAGTGCACAAATATATCTCTTTTATTTGGGTAATTTCATTATCAAATATGGGATTCTGATAACTATCCAACCATTTTCAGCAATCCCATCACTATCTACCATTTCAGGGTATCTGACAAGAGTTCCACCTAGTATGACCCAGTATCTCATTCACTATGTAGAAAGACATAGAGTTTATGCAACAATCAATTTTATATAATTATTAGAGTCTAATACTTTTGTGAATTTATTGGATTACTACTGCTAGTAATTCTCAATTTGTGACTATAATTGGAATCAGAAGTTCTGTGCTAAGCAAAATAAACTGTTATTACATTGGTCAGGCCCAATTTTACTTTTTTTTGCCATGGGTGTTAAATGAATCACTGCAGGTGTTAAGTCCATCATACAGTAATTAAGCAAATCTGGCTTCCTGCATTGACTTTGCTTGACAAAAGCCAGCTGGCAAGATCACAAATTGGGATCATGTGAGCCTGGGCCAATGCAATTGTCTTAAATATCTATCAGTTACCAAGTGCCCAAATTTTGATGATGTGTCATTGGGATGCTGCAATGGTTATAAGTGCAAGGACCAGTCATAAATCACTTTTTCAATGCCATTGTAACTTTGAATGGTTGTAAGTTGAAAACTACTGTATTTATTTTTCATGCTTCAGCCACTTCACTAAGGATACAGTCCAGCCAACAAAGCAGATATTACAAGGTAATAAATTGTTGGATGAAGGTAGAAATAAAGAAACATTCAATAATCTAAAATGAAAATAATTTTGATGGATAAAGTAATCCTTGTAGTAAATGTGCTCTTGTATTAACAAGCTTTTTTTCTTCTTGAAATAATTAGGAAATATAACAATGCCAAATATTTACTAGCAGTAATAATCCATCCAATTCACAAAAGTGTTAGTCTCTATCAATTTAATTTTATATTTTAGTTCATTTGTTTCATTATCTGGAAATTTACATAATAAAAATTGATTTGCTGATTAGCATTGAAGAAATAAATAGGGCTACTAGCATCGTTTTAAAGAAAGTCACACCAATGAGTTGCAGGAAATAATTCAAGAGTTTAAAGTGTACAGGAATGAATAAGAAGGATAGGCATTGTAATAAATAAGTGAGAAAGGAAGGCATCCCATGTGCCAATAAAAAAGTACTTGTATGGCATAGCACACTTCAGAAAATACTCATCTTTAAATTCTACTTCTGGAATGTTTTGAACGAATTAACTGTCATTCTCAATAAAATTAAATGGAGTGGAGTGGCAAAATCTGATTAAAGAATGGCGATGGGTATGCATCAAAGGAATGCCTTCTGGTAGTGAAAATGTTTGGATGAAATGGTTTTAAAGTTCATTTGCCAACTACAGAACTTAAATTAAATACAGCTGATAAGACAAAATTTTAACTGTAACCTATTCTTATACAAATACATTAGGAGTGACCCAAGATTTTGGTCCTAATCAAACATATACATCATGTATTAACAAAAATACAGGATAGCAAGACAAGTCCAATATTCTATTAAAATGGGTTCCAGTAAACTATTAAAGGCATCTGGCCAGGGAAAAGTGTGCAGAATTGATTCCAGGGCCTGCTTTTGACTTCTCAATATTAACTTCCCCAATCTCTACAGGGATTTTGTAGATTGAGAAATTTGCAAATTATTATTTTAGTTTTGCCAAGAGGATCTAAGATTTTTTAATTGTTTGAAGAAAATAATTAAAAGCTTAGAAAAATAAGGTTACTTACCAACCATTGCACTGACTTCTCCAGCCATAAGTAGACCTGTTGAGTTGTCATACAAGTTCACTTCAATTATACCTTTGCGAATAGTTTCACCTACTTTTGCTCCTAGCAATACTGAACCAGTAGTTTCAAAAATTGAAGCAAGGATGCAGGCTTGGCGCAAAGTAACTACACCAGAACCCACAGCAGTACCAAAAGAATTGGCAACATCATTTGCTCCAACTGAAAATGCCAAGATAAAAGCAACGATAAAACCCACAATGACCATCCACAAATATTCTTCCAATGCCATTTTTCTTCAAGTGCTCTTGTAGTTAGGGTTCCTGTTTAAAACTATTTTAATTAGACAAAGCTGAAAAGTAGTGAGCAGATTTTAAAGCTGATTTTGTGCACACAATGAGTTCTCTCTGGAAAGTGCTGTGTGGTACTGGAGCGTGAAGAAACTGCTAACTGGAGATTTTCAAGCTACTGTTAATACTGTTTGTTTGGCTCAATTCAATCACCAGCAAGATCCATTCCATATTTTGCTTCAGTAGGTTTACAGTTGTGGTGACCTCTCCTACAAAAGAAAAAAAATGACAAAAACCTAGAATTAAAAACTATATAATTATAAAAAAGAAAATCTAAAATGTCATGATACCCTAGTAACTATAGATAAAATGGCTGAAATCAGATTACAAGTGACAGTATTTAGGAGTTAAAAATACATTAGAATTGAGGTTGTTCTACAATTGAGACTGTTCTACTTCCTAGAAAACTTTAAAAAAATTAAATAGAGATGTAAGCATAATCTTTTGATCTTCACCAAGTATCTGTAAGAAATAATATATTAATCTTTAAGCAAGAATGTCCTTTAGCAAGGATGCCTGCTAAGCATAATTAAAGCTTAATTAATCTGTAGTTCAAAATAACTTGAATGTGCTTTTTCCTATCATACTTTATCATACATATCATACTTTGTCTCTTGTAAAATAGCAGAGGCCGATGTTAGTTTCTTGTACTATTCAGAAAACTGAAAAAATCCTTGTTCCTTAACTAATTAAGTCTATAATGTAAAGTCTACTTTATCCAGATCTATCAATAATATATTATCTGCTGAACATAGTTTGGGATACACTGAAATACACCACTTGAATTGTAATCACACATATTTGTTCATTAACTGAGATTTTCATTGTAATCTTTGAAAAAATGAACTAAAAGTCAGCTTCACTAGAAACTTGAAACCTACTTTTGCTTTAACATACGTAAAATTTTACTGGTAATATTTAGTCAGGTAACTCAAATTCTATTCTGAAAAAAGTTAAATTCTGGTATTGAATGAGTTTTGAATACTTGACAAATGACATAATTCATTTGTGTCATTATGTCTACATATCATAAGAAAGTACTAGCAAAGAACCTAGGACACTGAAGCCTCGCACTCAACTACCAGAATTAGCTTCTTTATTTTACCAGTCTGCCCATTCAGATAGTTCTTATTTAAAAACCATAATTGGAACCAGCAATTCAGTTGTTAAGATTGCTAAATGAAAACTCATGTGACTGTGACATCTTACTACAGCTACACACCTGTGAAGGTTATAAATACGAGCACTGATTGAAGTTACTTTTCCATAATAAACACAACTGTGAACAGTCACTATATGAGGCAGTTGCTAAACAAGGAGTACTTATACTATCAACAATGTATGTTTAAAAGAATAATTCCTGGAAGTACTGGATGTCCACAAAAAAAATGTCCTGGTGCTTTTTTTAGCATCTATATGGTATCTACAATATCCTCCTGCAGCAATGAAACCTTGAAAAATCCACTTATATATCATATTTTTCGCTCCATAAGATGCACTTCCCTCTCCCCCCAAAAGTGGGTGGAAATGTCTGTGCATCTTATGGAGCGAATATTGTATCACAGACCATGAAGTCTTTGGTAAATAGCAGCCGGGTTTTGGCGGTGGGGTCTTTACAGTGCTGAACCCGCCTCTTCTGTCTTTTGCCTGCCTCTTCTGTCTCTTTTCTGCCTGCCTCTTCTGCCTGCCTCTTCTGTCTCTTTTCTGCAGTGCAGGAGTCAACAGGCAGAGCTGGCACATGAGAGGAAACCTATCTGTGGTCCCCTCCCAGGCTCCGCCTCCTTCCCTCATTAAACTGCTGCTCCATATTCAACACTCCATATTCACAGTGAGACAGTGCTCCATATTCACAGTACTCTGAATATTTTTTTTTGTTTTCCTCCTCTAAACCTAGGTGCGTCTTATGATCAGGTGCGTCTTATAGTGTGAAAAATATGGTAAATCCTACTTGCTAAATGGTTGATCATGGCCTCAGCAGTTTACAACATTTGCATATCTTTTAAAAAATAAATAAATGTGACCCAGTTTATATTCAATGTGATTTTCAATAAATTTCAAGTTAGTCCAATTTTAAATAATTACATTTAAGGATATTAAATTAGCACTTCTTATTTTGTGTTTACACAAAATACATGCTTCTATCACAGATCCATTCTCCCCGGCTGAGATTAATAATAAAATGAAATTATGATCTCATAAACCTGACTACACCAATGACTTGTTTCCGACAGCAAATCTTTCAAGCTCGTCAAACCACTGTTCCTATTACTATTTTTATAGTAAAACATTTTTCTTACCATTTATATCTAAGTTCTATCCACATTTAATTTTTTTAACGTTATCTGGAACACCTTAAATACAAATGAAATAGCATCTCAGCAGCAAGCCATAGAAAGGCAAAGAAAACTGACAAATTCTCCTGCCCTGAAAAGTCCTGGAACACTGACCTTGTTCTACAAAGCCTAAGAGAAAGGACAGGATGTTAGCTCTATCACCATGGTAAAATAAATGCACCAACTGTGATGAGCCAAAAATGAACAAGAATACGCTCAATATAGGAATGCAATTCTTAATTGTAAAAAGTAAAATCTCTAAGTCACATTCAACACTTGGCAATTTCATGGTCACAATCTGATTTATTACTATTTGGGGGTTTTCTTTGTTTTTATTTTAACATCTCCATATAGCTGAGAGTTTTTAATTTCCTACTGACCTCCCATATAAGTACTACCTAGGTCTGATCCTCCTTAGTTTTTTTATAATCGGTTAAAGAAATTCCATAAATCTGCCTTAAGAGATCCATATTTGTTACAATCTGAATAATTACGACTGGCCACTGTGGTTAGTAATGTAATGGTTACTCAAAAGGCCAGAGACCTTGGAAAAGATATTTAGAAACATTTATCAGAAAAACTCACAGGAACCCTCGACTCCTTAGATTATAAGAGGAAGGAAAATTAAAACTGAGATAGACTGGCAAGATTCTCTCTTTTACTGCAACCTACCTCAAGTATAGAAAATCCTTATTTAACCTGCTTTTATTCAGTGACCATTATGATGATGGTGCTGAATGAGAGGAACTCACTATGTATTTGCAATCGTTGTAGGATCAGTGGAGAAGCCAGCAGCAGGTTGCAAATAAAAACAGCGACTACATTGGATTTGCCTAACAATTGCAACTGGGACTCCTGGAACTGCTGTCATAAGTTAGTGCAGTTACACGATGTTGCGTCTTACAACCATATTGCTTAGTAACAAAGTTCCTGAGCTATTATTTATTTATTTATTTATTTATTTGATTTGCCAATTGTTTACAAGATAATAAGTATAAGTGTATACATAGTTGTGAATACATGAAATGGGTACATATAAGAAAAATAAAAGAATAAGAGAAACAATAGGACAGGGACGGTAGGCACGTTGGTGCGCTTATGCACGCCCCCTACAGACCTCTTAGGAAAGGGGTGAGGTCAATTATCATTAATAAGCAAGAATAGTCTTTTTGTGGAGTCACAGAAAGTAGTCTCATCTGATCTATTTCATATGACTCACAAAAAGGACCATTAGGAACAGGAAAAACCAGCTGATTATGCTAAGCCTGCCAGTGTGCAGGGACATATATAGTGGATATAAAAAGTCTACACACTATTTTTAAAATGCCAGGTTTTTGAGATGTAAAAAAAATCAAACCAAGATAAACACTTCAAAATATTGTCTATCTTTAATATTACACAAGCTTCTACAATTCAATTGATAAGCTAATTTAAATATTTTGTGTAAAAAAACAATAAAAAAACTTCTAATCATGTTGCATAAAATTGCACATTTAAATTCATACTTTGTTGAAGCACGTTTTGATTTTATGACAACATTCAGTTTTTTGCAGTAGAAGCGTATCAGCATGGGGCATTTTGCCCTGGAATTTTACTCACTCTTCCTTGAAAAGGGACTCCAAATCTATCAGATCTCCTGATCACTCCACTGATTTTCAATTGGATTTAGGTCTGCGTTCTGGCTGGGCTATTCCAAAACTTTAATCTTCTTATGAAGTCATTCTTTTATTGACATGATGGTATGCTGAGTCAGCGCTGAGTTGAAAGGTGAAATTCCTCTTCATTTTCAGCTTTTTAGTAGAGGCCTGAAGGTTTTGTGCCAAAATTCACTGATATTTGGAATTGTTCATAATTTCTTTCACCTTGATTAAAGTTCCAGTTCCAGCTGAAGAAAAGCAGCTTCAAAGTGTAATGTTGCCACCATCATATATCACTGTGGGTATGGTGTACTTTTGATGATGGACAGTTTATGTACCTTATCGTTTGGAATTATAGCCAAAAAAATTCAATCTTTGTCTCATCAGATTTGTCAAATTTGATGTAGGGTTTTGCAAAACATAACTTGGCTTAGAAATTTCTTTGTAAGTGTGTGTCTTGCCACGCTAACCCACAGCCCAGACATAGGAAGCATACCGGAGATTATTTTCACATGTAGTACACAATCAGTACATGTCAGAATTTCCTGCAAACTCTAATGTTACTGTAGTCCTTTTAGCAGCCCCTTGAATCAGTTTTCTTATTTTGTCAACAATTTTGGAGGGACATTACCATAAGTTCTTGGTAACATCAATGTTATATTATATTTTATTCATTTGTTGATGATTGTCTTCATTGGCTCCATGGTGTAGCCAATATCTTGGAAAAATTTTGTGCCCTTCTGACTGATATCATTCAATGAGATCCCGTTGATGCTTTGTAAGCTCTTTGCAACCATGGCTACTACTGTAAGGGGTAACTGGGTTAAATGTCATAAAAATCCTTCTGGAACAGGGGTGTCAAACTCGATTTCATTGAGGGCTGCATCAGGGTTGTGTTTAATCTTGGGGGGTTGGAGTGGCATGGCCAGCTCAACATCACTCATAAGTGCTAAGGCAGGACTTCCCTCAGATCCTCACTCACTCTCATTATAATCTCCATACATCCATCCTTCCTTCCCTTTCCCTTCCCTCTCATTCTTCTTCTTCCCCCTTTCCTTATTTTTCTTCCTTGATCTCTTGCCATCTTTCCTTCTTTTTATCTTTCCCTTTCTCCTTTCCTGTCCCTTCTTGTATGCTCAAACACAAAAGGGGAAACATGACTTTTGCTTTGTTTTGTTTGTTTTGCTAGCCCTCTGTCAATGAAAAAGGAGCTTGGGGGGCACGTGCAGCCCCCCGGGC